ACACAGACACAAACACAAACACAAACACACTCACACACACACACACACACACACACACACACACACACACACACACACACACACACACACACGCACACACACACACACACACTTGCTCCATGCAATTCAAGCGGCCCACAGGGATGCTAGCTTTGGACTGCTTTGAGCCGTTGGGAACTGAGAGAATTTCACTGGTTCCAACCTTTCAGCAACAGCTGAAATCTGATTTCAGCCCGGATGGCCTGCCTTCAGGCGGAAGTCGGAGGCTGAGTGATCTGCCTGCGACTTGAAGTCTCGGCAAACCTCCGCCAGCAAGCGGCTCGGCGGGAGGAACTGCAGCACCAGCTGCCAGCAAACCTGCGAGACCCAAGGCCGAGGTGTGCGCCAAGTCTTGTCAAATCTTTATCCATGCGACTCTCTGAGTTGCCATGGCTGTCTGCATATGCAATAACATATCTAGTACAAACGCTCAACAGCTTGCCTTTGGCAAAGCGATGCTGAGAAACGAAGGGGCTACCCATTCGCACGAAACGCCAGTCCTCGCTCAGCATCGGCCGGCACATCTTAGGAGTCGGCTCGGCCACAGCCTGGCACCCAAAAATCTGGTTCGGTGCCTCTGAGCCCCGACTCGCCTCCAAGCGGGCCACCTTCGCAGGCGTTGCCACTGGTCGTGGGGCGCCTGCGAGGAGAAGAGCCAATGGGGAAGGGATCATGTAGCTAACCCAATGCCGTGAGCGGTTGGTTTCTGTGACTTTTCGCACTTTGCGTTTTGCTTGAGCAGGCTGTGCGCCTAGAAAATGAGCCTGGGATCAAATCAACGTGAAACAACTGGCAAGTTGCCTTCCCAAAATGACTCAAAGGGCCGCCATCCCTGCCCAAAGGCCTGAAAGCATTCTCAGGATCTCTTGCAGCTGTCCAGGTTGGGCTTGCGTCAGCATCAACTGCATGTTCTCCTTGGTCCTCATAAGGGTCAAACAAACCTTGGCTCGTCTACAGTGAACCTTATGATGTAAAGTGATGTCTAAAGAGATCCAAAAGGATCCTTCAAGGACCTTAGGAGGGACGCCAAATGGACACCACCCACGCTTGTTGTTCCCCCCGACTTTTGGAGGAGCCGCCTGTTACTTGGATTTCAAGGCAGAGAAGGAAACCGACGATGGTTGGGTTCCTGTTTTGAGACACATATGAGCCTCTCTTTTCTGCGGGTACCCCTTTTTGGTGGTGTTCAAGGAAATACCAAAACGACAGCCTCTTTTTTGTTTTAGGGGGGGTCCCCTAAAAGGGAGACGATCCCGGATTAACCAACCCTGGTTCACAGCAGGTCCCAGTTTTATTGGAGGTGAACCGGGTCACTGTATGGGGAAACCGCCCAATGAGTCCACTTCACCTCTATAAATCGAAAGACTATAATTACTTCCCATATCTACCTTTTGGAGGGTCTCGCAGTGATTGCCTGTATCCCGGTTCACTGGTAAGGTAAGGTGAGGCCGTGTGAAGATGACTTGTTTCCCCTTTTCGGACATGCACAAATCCATGCTCAGGTCCGAGGTATCCTTTGAGGCCCTCTGACGATCCTAGGATTGGTAGGACATTCACCCACCTTTTTGGAGGCTATAAATCCAGCGGATGAGGTAGTCAGGTGCATGAACGAGTTCATGGGGAGAAGAAAGATCAGGGTGGCTTATGGTGCACTTTCCATTTCTCGGCGCTTGCCAGCAGTTGAAAAAAACATTTGATCAACTGCCCGGACCCCAGGAGCCCTCCTAAATCCCCTTTCTACTCCCTACGAATCTCATCCCATTCACTCTTTGGGAGGATCCTAGAACTTTGCCCGTCCACTTGCTTAATGGCTGGGATGGTCCCTAAACTTCTTTCATTGTGGCTCTCATCCTTTTTGGTGGAACCACCTCGCCTTGATCCCCCTACCCCCCCAATCCGGTTTGGAGGATCCTACTCGAATTTTGTCCACGTACGTCGGACCCTGACTACACAATAGGCCCCCAAACTGAGGGATTTTGGTGTCCTTTTGGTTTCCAAACCAAAGTGCAAAACCCTAGGCCAGTACCCTAAACCCGCTGTTTCATGGTTGGGCATAGGTGACTTCTTGGAGAAAATGGATCGGAATTCCATTTTATATGAATGGATTGCATTTCCAACCAAACCGCTCAAAAGGACACCTGTGACGTTCTCCTGATCAGCAGCCGTCCCTCAGAGATCTTCTCAGCCGCCGCCGAGTGGAAGCTGCGCTGGGTTAGCCGGATCTCCCGCAGGAAACCCAGGACCTGCACCACGTGCCCTGTAGGCACCTGAGGTAAAACCACACGGCGAGGTGAGTCACAATCAAAACCCGGTATTAAAATGGTTGACCCAGAATTAACTATTTGTGGCTGGGATTGGGCCCTTACTAACCTTCATCTACCCGGGTTTTGATGGTGGCTCAGGTGAGGTCTTGAGGGCAATACAACTAGGCTCCTAGTAGAACGGTTGCAAGGGTTTCCGAACGGACAAGTCCTACCAAGAAAGAGTTTCATGGGTGTCCAACCAAACATGCGAGTTTCAATCAAGTTGAATGGATCTCCAATCAAAAACATGGTAATGGATGTCCTACCCAGAACAATTTAAGTTTCATGTGGTCCCAACAAGTTGCGGGTGTCCAACAAACAAACAAACAAACAAACAAACAAACAAACAAACAAACAAACAAACAAACAAACAAACAAGAACGATGGGCTTTCAACCCAAAAAAATGAAGGGTGCTCAAGCTGGGTGTCCAACCCAAGAACATTTAGCTGCTGTCCAACCAAAAACAAGTTCAGTAGGTGTCCCAAACAAAAGCAAGCTTCATGAGTTTCCAACCATACTTGGTGGCCAACCCAAAAACTTTAATGGGTGTCCTGGGTGTCCAAAAAACAACAAGTTTGATGGGCGTGCAACCAAAACACAAGTCGATTTGTGCCCAACAAAATAAAACAAGCTTGATGGGTCCAACCAAAAAAGGCTAAATGGGCTGGTAAGCTGTAAGCTAGTGGGTGCCCAACCACCGAAAGTCAGCTGTCCAACAAAGAACACTAGTTTCATCGATGTCCAACCAAAAAGTTTGACGGATGTCCAACCAGAAAAAGACAAGTGGGTTTCCAACGGAAAATTAATAATAGTGAGTGTCCAACCCAAGAAACAGCTTAATAGGTGTCCGACAAAAAACAAGTTCAATGGGTTTCCAACAAACAATAATTTTAATGGGTGTCCAACCAAGCAACAGTTTAATGTGTCCAACAATAAACAACAGTTGAATGGCTTTCCGAGCAAAAAACAAAGTTCACTGGGTTTCCAACAAAAAAGCGAGCTTACTGGGTTCCTTCTGGAAGTTTTCACCTGACCCAAACCGAACAATTCGATGCGTCCACCGTCACCTTCACCGCACGCAAGCCGAAGTCCCGGGCTGTCTTGTTGTTGCGCAAAGGCTTTCCGTCCACTTGCACTGACACAGAGCAGTGACATCTCAAGACTTCAGTGGCCATGGCTTTATCGTGCGGCTGTAAAGTTTGGGGCTGAGGTTGGCTGAGTCTGACTTGCTTCAATGTTCATCGTCAAGCGGCTGTAAATTTTGGGGCTGAGGTCGGCTGAGTTCTGCCGCAGAGATAGCGGGTCAATGGTCAAGTAATTCTGATGGCGGCATGCCTTCCGTGTTTCTCCATGCAACGCTCCATGGCACCATGGTGTCAAGGCTTGAGCCAAGAAACGTCAACCAAAGTTTCCAATAGAGGAAACAAAACAAGAAGAAGGAGAACAACAGCAACAAACAAAAAGAAGAAGAAGAAGAAGAAGCACAACAACAAAAACCACAACCACAACCACAAGGACAAGAAGAACAAGAAGAACAAGAAGAACAAGAAGAAGAATAAAAACAACAAGAAGAACAAGAACAACAAGAACAACAAGAAGAACAACAAGAACAAGAACAAGAACAAGAACAAGAAGAACAAGAAGAACAAGAACAATAAGAACAAGAACAAGAAGAACAAGAACAAGAAGAACAACAACAAGAAGAACAAGAACAAGAAGAACAACAACAACAACAACAACAACAACAACAACAAGAAGAACAACAACAACAACAACAACAACAACAACAACAACAACAACAACAACAACAACAACAACAACAACAACAACAACAACACCAACAACAACACCAACAACAACAGCTGCAGCAGCAGCAGCAACCACCACCACCACGACGACGACCACGACGACCACGACGACCCCGACGACACCACAACAACCACAACCAGAACCAAAAGAAGAAACAGAACCGCAACCACCACAACCACGATAACCACAACAACCATAACCACCACAACAACACCAACAACAACACCAACAACAACAGCTGCAGCAGCAGCAGCAACCACCACCACCACGACGACGACCACGACGACCACGACGACCACGACGACACCGCAACAACCACAACCAGAACCAAAAGAAGAAACAGAACCGCAACCACCACAACCACGATAACCACAACAACCATAACCACCACAACAACAGCAACCATAACAACCACAACAACCACAACAGCCACAACAACCACAACAACCACAACAACCACAACAACCACAACAACAACAACAACAACCACAACAACCACAGGCACAAGCACAAGAGCATCAACAAACCACAACCACACCCAACCACCACAACAACCCGCGCACAAGCACAAGAACAAGCACAACCACAACGACAGCGGCAGCAGCAACATCACTAGCAGCAAACAGCAACAGCTGCAACCAACAGCTGCAAACAGCAAGTACCAACAACCCCCAACACAACCAACAACAAGGCACCCAATAACGCCGGCCAAGCCCAGTTGCCGTTTCTACAGCTCTTGGTGTGGTTGCAGTTGTTGGTGGCTGTCGTCGGTGTTGGTTGGTTGGTTGATTGCGCAATGGACACACAAACTGATTTGCTTGCTGGCCCCGCCCCTCCCCCCGCCCGTCCTTGCTGACCATTGGCTCTGCCACGCAGACTAACGTCAAGGCTCTCACCTCGCCTGCAGAGCGCTATTCACCAGTTGGACCTTCTGCGCATCAAGGCTTTTCAAGCAAACTTGAGGAGCCTTCAAGCTTGTGCTCAGGAACTGCGATCCATTCCTCCTAACCTTAGATCTTCTCGGACGCCTCTCGCGCACCATCTTACCCCAAAAATAGCGTTATTGAGTGTAGTGTGAAATAGGGTCCGTTTGCGGTAGAACTCAACGAGAGAGAGAGAGAGAAGAGAGAAAAAGAAAAGCAACAAAGAGATGCATACGGACTCTAAGGAACGATTTACAGGAAATCGCAAAGCAATCCAGAAAACAGGCGACTCCAAACCAAGCAACATCACACAAATCCACGATTGCGGTAGATCTCGCTTTTGCAAAATGAACTGGAGAACCCAGAGTCAAAGCTAAACCAAGCACTGGGTTCACATTGCGTGGGTTGCTGCATTGCTTCTGACTGCCTCGTAATCCGCAGCTCTGGAGACTGTGCTCCATCGCCAGCTGCAGGCACCTCAAACTCGGATACCAGCTCCTCAGCGAGTGCGAGCTCGAATACTCAGAAAGAGATGCCATACTCGAGTGAAACTCCGTGGGCCAGCGATGATAAACTAGCAAGAGCAAGTTGATCAAACACCCGGATTTGGCAGCCAAATTTGAGGCATCCGTCTGCGTCCTGCTTCGAGTGGTGTCTCTAAATCATGTGGCAGGCAAGCTAAGCCAAGCCAGTCAAACCTTCTCTCTTGAGGTACATCCTGATGAGCATCTACTGCAGGCTTTCATCTAAGGTCGCTTCAAACTTGGTTCTCTCCACAAGGTCGTCGGGTAGTGGTGGTGTCTGATCAAAAATCCAGGCGCAGTCAAAGAGTGGCCTCGGTATGCCCAACGGTTCCCGGCAGCGGCACCATCCCCAAGAGTCAACCACGGCGTGTCTCCTAGGGCCTTTCCAATGTGCTCCGAAAAACATAGGGGAGAGTATCCTGTAGAAGTCGCCTGACTCACGCTGACCCACCGGTGACCCTTCCGAGCTCCGGCTGGGTCTCCGGGCTGCTCACTGGGCAGATCGCACCACTGGCGAATCCTGGGTCATGCAATCCTGCTGAAGGGTTCATACCATGCTGCTTGTGTGGTTTTGAGGATGACCCTGTGCTCAACCCACTTGGTTCACTTCACCATGCTCATGGGCCCTAGTGACATGGCTTTCTCACTACTGACGCGACATGGTGGCGAAACCGTTGTTGTCGTGATGTGGATCCCATGTTGCAGCTTTTGGGTGTCCGTTGCACAGTTATTGCAAGGTCAAACAGTCTGGCAACATGGCTGTCAACTCCACAAAAATCAATGGCATTCTGCCCAAAAAGGCTACCAGCCCTGGACACTCTTTTTTTTTTACGATGAAAGAAAGCAATCGCTTGCCATGTAGACCGCATGTTGTGAAACACTTTGCCATGATGCGTTGCCACATCTGCCCATGCACCAACTAGGCCCAGTTGGGACAAGCCCATGATGCGCGGTGTGAGGGTGACACTTTGCTTAAAGGGCCTTTGGGCTCAGGCCATAAGGCAGTCATCCTTCACGCGGTGCTGTGAGCGATTGAAATTTTGCAAGTGCCTGTAGCCAGTCTTCTCCTCTTGCAAAGCACCCCAAATGTCCTCCCTGATGTTGTAGTTGGGATTCGCATCGACAAACAACAGGGCGGCGTTTTGCTCGGGCTTGTAGCACGCCAGTCTGGAGGTTTCTTTATCTTGCTCTGTGAGGTTCGACACAGGCACGTAGACTGGTGGGTCCGGACACCATGTCATGTCCGCGGGGGTGGCAATCTCTACCGGGTCCTTGCACACCACCGGCCGTATCATCGAGTGCTGCTTTGCAACATCATCTTTGTGATACATTTTCACCATCTCCAGGTTCAAATACTGATCTGCCTGTGACCTGGCTGCCGGCAGATGCTTGGCAACGTCTCTTGCCTCAGTCATAAAATGCGCCCTTCCAAGAAAGCCCCACAAGAAACGGGGCAAGTATGGCAAGTATGGCAAGCCATTGCGAGCAGGCGGCAACACTTGATGCGTGCTGATAGCCGCGGGAGACTTGCGGCCCGAGCTCTTCGGACATGACCATGGGGCTGGGCCCCATGCTGTCAAAGAGGGCGTCCAGGCTCTCCCATTCCCGCCAGCCATTGACGAGGCGCATGCCGGGATAGTCATGGCTGCTACTGATGTCCTCTTTCTTGCACCTCTGCAGCAAAGCCCGGTTCCTTGGCACTAGGCATGAGAGGCAAATGTGTTTTACGCACGCTTTTTCAGGCTGACTTTCAATATCATCAGACACGGTAGTACTCAGCTACGACGTTACGATGTGATGCATGAAGCAGTCTGCCGCTTGCATTGCTGCAATATCATAGGCACATCCGCTGCAAAAGCTTCTCAAAGCGCCAACTTGCAGCGAGCTTCTGTGCCTCCGCATTGATGACTGCCTGCTCGAACGCCTCCTCCTCAACACTTTGAAGCTCGAACCTGCATATAAAACAAGAAAAGCCCCTTTGTGCCAATGCGAAACACGAACCGATTGAAGGCCAGCTGGGATATACCTGCGGATGCAAAGCTGTTTGAGCCAGGTACAAACAGCGTTCAGATTTGCAGGGTTGCGTCAATCGCCTGTTACAGATTCAAAACATGACAACTGTTTTCACATCCTTCTTTAGGAGTCCCTGCAAGAGGGGAGCCATACTCTGGTTGGTTTGTTTTTTGGATGCTTTGTTTTGTCACTCCTGGGAGCCCTCTGGAAAGTTGCCGGTGCGGCCGCTGACGCGGTGCTCTACCGCCACGGGGGGGCCGAGTTCTGGCGCCCGGCGGCCAGTCTTTATGACATCCCCATCATCCTGCTGGCCCACCTGAGAGGAGAATGGGCTTGTCTCAAAAGGGACCCCAAAAAATGTTGGTTTCCCCATGGTCTTTCAAAGCAACGCAGTTGGTTGTGGGTATTCCAAAAGAATAGCACGCACACAAGTGTGGCTGGTCGGCCAGTGTGAACTGGACTATATGCATACTTCCGAACCCTAATGCAAGTGTGGTGCCTCAGCACTAGCAAGGCTCTGCTTGCCAGTTTTCATGCAAAGGGCTGTGGAGGCAGGCAGGCAGGCAGGCAGGCAGGCAGGCAGGCAGGCAGGCAGGCAGGCAGGCAGGCAGGCAGGCAGGCAGGCAGGCAGGCAGGCAGGCAAGCAGGCAAGCAGGCAAGCAGGCAAGCAGGCAAGCAGGCAAGCAGGCAGGCAAGCAGGCAAGCAGGCAAGCAAGCAAGCAGGGCAAGCAGGGCAAGCAGGGCAAGCAGGGCAAGCAGGGCAAGCAGGGCAAGCAGGCAAGCAGGCAAGCAGGCAAGCAGGCAAGCAGGCAAGCAGGCAAGCAGGCAAGCAGCAGGCAAGCAGGCAAGCAGGCAGGCAGGCAGGCAGGCAGGCAGGCAGGCAGGCAGGCAGGCAGGCAGGCAGGCAGGCAAGCAAGCAAGCAAGCAAGCAAGCAAGCAAGCAAGCAAGCAAGCAAGCAAGCAAGCAAGCAAGCAAGCAAGCAAGCAAGCAAGCAAGCAAGCAGGCAACACACAAACAGACACACAAACACAAGCACTCGGGGCCTTGTATAAAGTGGCCAAGGCACGGATTCAGCTTCAGTCACCAGGCGATGAGACAAGTAGATTCCGCCCAACAGATTCCTATTGCCAGGATTGCGGATGGCCTGGTAATCCTTGACCACAGGCTTCCAGGATACCTTGATGGGATCCGTGATGCCGATTTGCTCAGTGACAGTGTTCTGCCCAGCCCTCCTCCCATAGGAGACCATTACCTTGATGTACTGGGAGCCCTCCTGGGCATCTCCGCCAAAATGCAGCGGAGCCTGCACAAGCAGGGCTCAGCATCAGTTAAGGCAATGTAGTCCTCTTTTGCCACATCTCCAAATTCACAGGGAACAACATGGCTTGATCCGCCAACCCTTGCACTTCCCGAGAATAAACTTCATGCATTGTGACTTGATTCTCAATCGGAGGCTGGAGCTGCAACGCTTCACACGTTTTCTCGGGACACCCAATTGTGGCAAACTCGGGGCCCCTTCGGATGGGTTTTTAAGGAAAGGCAGAAGAAATCCAAAATGACAGAGCGCCATGTCAAATGGGGGGCCTTTCAAGGCCCAAAACAATGAACATACTGTCATCATACTGTCCACGCCTCGGTATGCAAAGTTTGCGAACATTCGAAGAGCTGTCAAGGCAAGCAAAGTGTATGTTGCGGAGCCATTCATTGCTTGAACCGCGAGGCAAAAGGGTTGATAGATAGATGCCTTGCTGGGGCTTCTTAGTTGCACACAACTTGCGAGCAGCTTGCTCACTGCTCGTGTCAGTTGCTGACTTGTTTGAATTGTGTCGTGTCAGTTGCAGTAAAGAGCTATGACTTCCTTTCATGAAACCCACATATGATGTGCTATGGTCCGAATTCCTAATGTGGGTGGAGTGGTCGTTGTGAGCTACTCCTGGTTCCCTCAATCGGAATCCTGGTCATGTTGAAATTCCCTACTAAGGGGTGATGACCATCCCTACCAACCCCAAGCAAAGGGGTCTTTTGACCGTGGCACATTACTATGGGCAGCCCAATTTGCCTTGCCTGCACGAACGTCTTGGTCTGCTGCAAGTCCACGGATGCGAGCTGACGGCCGATCTGCTCTTGAGATTGGAAGAGCCCGATCTTGCGGAGCTCTTTGCCTCAGGGTTCTCAACGCAGCGCCGAAAATTGGTTTCCTTCTGTTTACAGGGCCAACTCCGGCTGTGACCAGGGGAAGCAAAAAAAAAGGGCCAAGCCCCTGTTTAGATACTAGTTCAAGCACCACCAGCACACACCAACCACAGCCTTTTTGGACAGTACAACAAGAAGAGTGCCTTTGCTTCGCTTTTAATACCACCTTTGGTGCTGCTCAGTGTGAAAGCACGCTTTAGAAGGTGGATTAGGTAAATGAAAAGGCACAATACCCTCCACGTTGTATCAACCCAAAGATAGCACCTTCATTTTATCCGCACGATGCACGGCACACACAATCACCGTCCAACAGATCCAACCGGACGATTCGGAACTTGTTAGGCCCTTTGTTTACCAGCCCGTCCACCCCAATTTGCCAGGTGGCCAGTGTCTGTCAGAATGCTGACCTCAGTTGCTCGATGGCTCCCTACGCTGGTAACAAAGACACGCATGCATCCTGTTGGTCCGGGGCAAGGTCCATCCCCTTTTGTCAACTCGAGGCCAAGTTCTCCGGCCAGACTGCGGCTGGGTACGTCGAAAGTAGCTGGTTGCCCTTTTGGCCTCCCTGTAAACCAACCTTTAAAACCGGTACCTTCAACAAACACGAAGACACACACACACACACAAAACGCTCGGACGCCGAACACATGCTTGTCGACCTCTGAAAGCTAAGGCTTTCGCCACCACGTCCTTCATCTCCGGAGAGCGAGGCTTCGGCAGATCCTTGGCCCCGTGCAGCTCCATCATGCAGCTGACGCCGTGATGGACATCCTCCAGCTCCTTGTCCGTCAGGAACCTGAGCCAAAAAATCGACGAATGCTGTGGGTCCCCTGGTTGCAAAAGCCTCCTCTGGCTTCTGGGTTTCCCTGGCAACCGAAAAAAGAGAGCGGGTCCTCTCCCAGGTCCTGGCCAAGGGGTTCTTGAGGGCTGCCTGGATGCCCATCTAGAAACAGCGACAAAATTCGAAACACCGAAAAAGGGGCCCAACAAGCGCCTTGAAACGACGTGAAAACAGCAAGGACCCAGAGAAAGAAGGGGAACCAAGAGGCGGTCAAGCCAAAATCTAAGACACCCCACAGCATGGATGCCCGGAACCCGGCAAAAGCCCGATTGCGTATGCATGGCAAACGGGCCAGTTTTGAAGCTTGGGGTGCCATGGAGACCACTTTGCAAGCAAGTCAGAATCCTTGAATTCCTAGATGTTCTGTCCAAAGGGTGGGATACAGCTGGAGCCCTCATTCCCTCGGTGTGCCATGCATCATCCCCTTTTGCCATCGCTCTCAAGAAAATCCACAGTACGAGTACCTCACAAGCCATGAGAAGCACATTTGGGTATGCGTCAACATTGGTGCGACCAGAAAACACTCCCTTTAAACCAACCCAAACATCCTAAAACACACGCAGGCCCAGTCCCCAAGCGAAAAAACCGGCGCGCCGGGCTGCGACTGCAACGCGCCGAGCGCACCAGTTTGGGAGCTCATGTCATCAACGCCCATGGAATTGAAGTCCCCCAAAGGCTCGTCCTCGACGATGCAGAGCTCAATGCCGCAAACCACCTTGCCATTCTTGGTGACCTCATATGGCCATGGCTTGTTGGATCTCAAGTCCAATCGATTGATTTGGCAGGAGCCGATGGTGGTGCCAGAGATGACGCCGGCGAACTCCACCTGGTGAATGGGCCCAAGCTTACCACTCATTCTGCTTCACAGCAAAGAAAGAAAGAAAGGAACACAACCAAAGACCCTTCACGCCTCGACGTGGACAGTCTTTGAAAGAGTTTTTGCCTTCAGAGCGCCCAAGTCGTCGGGGATCGCAAAGGTTTGCGCAGGCATCTCTCCAAGCTCAGAATCCTCGAGGCCCTGGATCTCCTCACTCCGCGCCAGCTCCTTGCCGCCATGATCCAGAACTCTGAGCTGATATGTCTTGGCGCCGCCGCCAAACAACCCGCTCTCCACCGGCACGTCCAAAAGCTTGGTCACGACCAGGAGGCACTGCCGTCCAAGGGCCACATCTGCATCAGGCACATTACTGGTGAAAGGCCCGGGCATACTGGCCATGCCAAGTGAATTCATCCCCGAAGGCCCCATGGAATTCATGGGCGGCATTGAGTTCATGGGCTGGCCCATGCCCTGCGAGCCCTGCAGGCCAGGGCCCTGTGAGTGCATCGGGCTTTTTTGGGATTGCATCGGGCTGGGGCTTTGCGAGTGCAAGGGGGGCATGCCGAGGTTGGGGTTGGGCTGGTCGGGCACCACTGTGCGGAAGCTGGCATCCCGCGTGGCAAAGGGCCCACTGGCACATGGCCCGTGCGTGGCAAAGGGCCCAGAACTCGCAAAGGACCCGCCCTGGGGCCCGGCTGTTGGCCCGGCTGTTGGTGGCAGTGTCTGGGGTGCCTGACCCTCAAACCGGGGGAAGCTGGGATTCGACTGGATCTGCGTCTTGAACGGCGAATCCACCCGCATGGATTGGTTCATGGCTGCCGGGCAGCTGGCTAGTATATGGACGGTGCATGAAGTTGCTCGCTAAGCCAAATCGAAACCAGCGACAGTCGGCCACCCGAAGCACGCTCACCGCCAAAGTCTCTTAGGCAACATGCTTCCGCTGCATCAGCTCAAGATAGCCTACGTGGACCTTCATGTAATCCCCATGGAATTAATCCTTATTGAAACCAGCGGTAGCAACTTTGGAGCAGTGGCCAACTCGGCAATTGATGGCTCAGCGCTGCATGCCATCTTGCGCGATTTGTCGCCGCTGAGTTCATGGCTGGGTCAGCGATGCCGCAGGGCACATAGCTGCATGAGCTACAAGGCAACGCTGTACCTGGCATGGATGGCTACGGTTGATGTCATGTTGCAGATGGCAACACCCACTTCTCGAGAAGCCAGGCAGGAGTTGGCGTGGCAAGTTGAGCGCCCAGCGAAAACAAGAAAGCGTCATGCATGCCGTTGCAAGGTTGACCAAAACAATGCCACTACGATCAGCTAAATAGTGACACATGACCTGGGGTCCAACAAGTGGAGCTGAAAAGATGTGCGCCATGGCTTCAAAAACTCTCAGAGATATTGTGGGAGGGTTTTTTTTCCTGCAAAACCGGCTACCAGCCCCAAGCGCGTCCATCCCATCCCGGACCTCAGCTGTGAAGCTCAGCAATGTCTGCCAGGAGTCCGTCAGCCGCAAGCGCAACGGCAAAAGTGATACCGCGCACCTGGCACAGACCCCCGAGCTGAGCAGGGCCCACCCCCCTATTGGCGCCAGGTGCCCACACTCGGGGAACTCATCAGGTTCAGGAAAATGTGGTTCCGAAGATTGGAACAGACACACACACACACACACACACTGACTTTTGGATTGTGTTCCTTGGCATGGGAGGGCCTAGAATGATGGTGGAAAGCTGCACCACGCTGACAACTGCCCCAAATATTGCGTCTTCATGTCGGAACAATCCCCGATATCCTCCAGAACATGACTGATTGGCAGAATGGTGGTGTGAAAATCGCGGCCTTTTGATGGAGAATGGTGACAAACAGGCAGACAGACAGACAAACAGGCAGACAAAGAGAAAAAAACAAACAAACAAACAAACGAACAAACAAACAAACAAACAAACAAACGAACGAACAAACAAACAAACAAAAAACAAACAAACACAACACAACACAACACAATACAACACAACACAACACAAGCAAGGAAAGCCACACAGAGCAACAAAGACACAAAGAAAGGAATACGATCCCAACGGGAACAGCGGAACATCTTCTGGCACAGCTGCATGAAGGGGAACAGGAATCTTCAGTGTGTAGCTTTCTGGGTCAATATATGCTGGCATGACTAAGATTGACAAAAATGGCCGGCGTTGTAGCTATGATTGCTGTCCGCCAGAAAAAGATGCATACTCTATGCTGGGCCCAACGTGGGCATTCAACGAAATTGTTCCGGGGACCTCCTGGCGAAATCCAAGTTGGCTCATTCGCCTCAGAACTGTTGCCAAAAGCATGGCAGACTGACCCGACAAAGCCATCAGCCACAGCCTGAGGGATGGCAACGAGCAGCAAACTGGCGCGCTCACTGACATGCGAAATCATTCGATTCCGGGGAGTTCAATCAACTGGCCCTTACCAATCGACTTGGAAAACAGATGGACCGCAGCGCAGCGGGGAACCAATCGAACAGAGCCAGGTGACCGACAACGCGACCTCCGGCCTCGCGCCCGGAGAGGACGGCACCAAAGACCAAGTCCCGACATCCAAAGCTTCGGGACCAGACCTGCATTGCCGCTGAGTGGGGCCACTCTCAACACACATGTTTGGATGCAGTCTTGTCGTGGAAACGGTGTCCCTCTGATTTTGTGTTGGCTACCCTCGAAATGGTTGCTCAATGGCACCAAACAGGACCCGCATTCATTGAAGACGGCCGCGACAGTCCCAAAGCGCAAGGTGCAATGGTGCCAGCAGCACCAAACACCATGCAGCCAGAAGAAGCGCCTTGCAGCTCGGAATTGGTCCAGCTATGGACCTTTAATTTAAAGTCTGACTTTGTGTCAGCGGCACAGGACAATTCCACTTAGCACTCGGACCTCATGGATTGGTGTTGGTGGCTTAGGCACGGGCTGCTGGTGTGACTTGCCAGGCCTCAAGCGCACATGAGAAACCAAAAGGGTCTTAGCCAAACAGCCTTGACAAACATGCGCGAGTATCAGCTCGCTGTCAACGTGGGACCACTAAATTCACGCTACCGCCATGCTTAACGCCTTGAGTCTGGTTCCTTTCTGGGCTTGGTGGAAAGAGTACAGTTTGCATCTCGCAAAAGCATTGTTATCTGCAGCAAGCATACCTCCAAATGACTCAAGTTCCGCGATCTTCATGGCTCATAATTGACAAAGAGTTGGCCAGTCAGCATTCAGAATGCGAGTCACGGTTCATGCGCATGTCAACAGCACGTCTACTAAAGTCATACAGGCATGCCCACTAAAGACTTGTATAACTTCAGGCACATAGCTTCCGAGCCTTTCGATCTACAACAACAACGCCTCTGCTGGCAGTGCCCCATTCTTATTCCTATTGCGCGCTTTAGCCATATTGCTCGCCAAGGCTCGGCCGAGCGCAGGCGCAACCCCTCCCAAGCCACGGCGAGCCTGTGGGGCTTCGCTTGTGCTAGTGGAATCCTCTTTGAAGAAGGCCCCACTTTTGTCAATCCCAAGAATCCTAGAAAAGAGGGACGCGCCTTGCAAATACCAACAGCAACACAACAACTCAGTGGCAAACGCACTGAACAACACACAACGACTAGCAAATAGAAAGATGCCAAGAGCAGGAAACCGCAATCGTTACCAAACATGAGCCCTGACAATTCAAGTCATGACCTTGGCAACTAGAGACCCTCCAAGTTCACACACCGATGGGCCAAAGGATCCCCTCCCCTGAACCCTTTGAGTTCCAGATGAATCTGGTTCAAACCTGCACTGATGTCTCTGGCCTCCGCTGGCTGCTCAAGGACACGGCTGCGGCAGCTTGAGGAGTGGGCCTGCCAACTGAAAACAACGACATGCGCCACGCCCCTGGTTTGCCTGAGAGGGTTAGCAGGTCCCACGCACAGCGCGAGCCTGAAGCCCTCCAGTGTCCGCTGCCACCATCCTCCATCGGCCTGGCCATTGGAAGCACCACTCTGCCAGGTGCTTGTCCCGCGCAGAAACGTCTCGTCCCTCACGGCCAGCTTCAGGCCTGTGGGTCAGGCACCTGAGCTGGTCGTGTTGGTGCCTTAGCTATGGCGCATGCGGCTTTGAATCTGCCAGTGCCTCCTTAGGCACTCCCACCAAATGAAACCAAGTCTGATGAAATGCGCGTTGCCCCCAAACTTGGGAACCCAAAGTGAAAAGGCAAGTTCGAGGGTCCCAATCTTAGGAACTGAACTTGAGAAAGCAGTTATGGCCAGCGTTGCACACTCGGCCCCAAACCTCCAGGCCAATGGAAAGCGAGAGAATGTCCTGTCAGGCTGACTGCAACCAACAAGCAGCATTGCATATTGCTTATAATTGGCATCCAAGATGGAACTATTTGATTGCACGCACTATGCTGGGTGTGCATGGGATTTGAGACCAGGCTGTCCTGCAGCAAAAGATTTGCAGACCAGCCGTCACAAATGGCGTTGTGCCTATCGAGCAACATCTGTTGCAAGCGCTCGCCAAGTACCCTGCACTTAGGAGTGCGGGAGATCAAAACGCAGATCTCCCGATGCCCTAGTCTGGAGTCTTAGTAAGTATGCTGTGTTGAATCTCCTGGCTTTTCTTGTTCAATGTGGGCATGATCGGCTTTAATCTGTGGATAGCACTTTGATAGCGCACTGCTCTAAAATGCTCAGGGGCTTTGGTCCCAGTTCAGGCTGGAAGCCTTGACAACCTTGACTGTCGTGGGACCCTGTGTCGCACATTGGTTGCCGTGCTGCGCAAATGGCAAAGCAGCTCAAACAATGCCTAATCCTCCAGCAGCGCATGGCTGTTTGCATGATGATTGTCATGTTATGTTTGCTGATGTTTTTGCCGCTGGCTGACCAGGCCGAGTAGCACAGACAGCAGCAGCGCAGTACGCTGTGTGCCGTTTGCCTGCAGTCGATTCCCACGTGCATGAGAATACCAATGACAGAGGAGTGAGAAGCACATGCATGCTGTGCGTTCATGCAGTTCTGGGATAAGTCACATGCGACGCACATGGAAAACATGACACCTCACATCTGGTGTCCAACCCCTTGCCAGCTGAGCTCCGGTGCCTGAAGAAGGCAAAGGCGGCACAGCGGTTCTGGAATGCGAGTTTGTGCTGGTGCAGAATCTGAAGATAGGCAATGATCAGATCCAAACCTACTTTAAGGCTGACCGCAGCTTTCACAGGAAGCAAGAAGCAACCCCTCATGTCCCTACTGAATTGAGACACACACAAACACACACACACACACACACACACACACACACACACTTGAGGAGTGACATGCACTCCTGAGCTGCGAAAGGACAGCAGCAAATCCTCCCGCATCCAGCGCTTCAGCCGCTGCTTTAGACCTGCTGCCACCCCGAGAGCACTGAAAATCCAAAATCACAACCTGTTTTAGTGTCACCAATGTCACAATCCAGTAGCACCACCATGAACTGGGCACATGCCGGATGTTCTAACAAAGGGCTCATTGTCGTTGTCATGCAAGCGGAATGCGACAAGCTCCACGCCTTGGCCGTCGCAGGCTTCCCGCGCAATCCGCATCTCCACCTTCGACCTAAGGGCATGGAGCTGTCCCAGCAGTGCACCCAAACTGGGGAGAACCTCCTCTTTTGGAGTTTAAGCCGAAAACACGCGCTACGGCATGGCCACTGCGGCACTTTGAATCTTCTAGGCACTTTGCGAATTGCAAGAAGAGGCACAGGCGTCACCTACTCTCCACGGAGGCGACATGGACGAGCCTGCGTCGAGATTCTTGCCAGCGCGAAGCAGCTACCTGGGCTTCCCTGCCAGCTCGGGCGCAGCACCACCTGGATGTGCTGACCTCGTACCTGAAACAAGGAGCGCTTAAAGGTTGGAGGCCTTTATCTGAAAACGAAACTCAAACCGTTCTAAGCTGCTTTTCTGGAACCAATATATTCGGAATCCAACCCCAACCTCTGAAAACCACTGGTGTGATACCTAGGTAGACTAGGCTAGGTAGCTAGGTATGTAGGC